CACAATAATTGAGACTACCCTTAAACCTTTTTCTTCCAAAACAGGGCTAGCATGAAAACAATGTTAACCCTGTGGATGCACACTAAAATTCAGGAGTTGGGAGACAGCAGTAGTAAGTTATCTTGTGCACAATATTACCAGGGAGGAATTTCAGCCAGATCCTTCCTTAAGGAACTTTCTACCTTGGAAAGATTCATGTTTGACAGTTATTTAAGAGGACAGCATTGAAGTAATCCTGACAACTTCTCCATTTTTAAAGGCTTCTGTTGCTCTGACAGGTAGTTTTGACTACTACCACCTAAAAGCTAAGATAAAAACTGTAGCAGAAATATCTCTTAAAATTCAGAGAACACTAAAAAAAGCACTGGGTTGAAGTCAAATATGAAGTTAACCCACAACAAGATGCTTGTAATGTTTTATTTCCAGTATATAGTTAGCATGGGGATGATGGGCTCGTCTCTGCATTCACCATGGTTCCTCTCAGGACATAACAGAGAGGCAGAGAGAAGGGATAACACCAGACTAAGTGCACACCTGTGGATTTCTGTGGATTCCAAGACTTTCAGTAACCTTAAATCAAAGTTATGTGAGCATGGTGCAACTACACTGAGGTATTGATCTACAGTCCAAATACTTGGATTTTATGAAAATAAGTGTTTTCCTTTCATACTTTGCCTGGAGCTCAGTAAGGATCCAACCTTTTTGTCTTTCTGGATGCAGCTAACTCAAGCTACAAATTTGCAGGAGGTCCCAGGCCTGAACAAAGACCTGCTGACTTGGCATGAGGGAAGAAAGATAGTCCCAAGGAGGGGAAGAAAAAGATTAGACCAAGCCCCTAAATATCACAGGGAACAAAAGCATCAAATCCCAGAATAGAACAGCAGGAAAAGGTGGCACAGAAGTATGTTAAGAAACTTGAGCAATACAAGGTGTCCCTGCTGCATGCGTGCCACCCAGCAGACCGAGGAGGTAACAGTGACCCTCTAGTTATTTTTAATCCCAAACAAGGTCTTCACACAAAACCAACATGCTCCTCTAATTTGCCGCAGTAAAGTCACAACGGGGACTGATGGCAGCAGTCTCCCTGGCAACAGCGTGACGTCAAGCACTAATATGTATTTTCTGCAGAATCCACTAGATGGAGAAGTCTGGGCTCACCCTTGCTCACCTGCCTCTGATGCAGAGACCCCCCGGTCAGGGTCACTCCAACACCCCAAATCCATTTTGTATAAAAGACTATTGAGAGAAAATGGTTGGAAAGAATTCACGAGAATAAAAGAACAGGAATGGGTGTATAAAACAGTAACAGATTTCCCTCACTGCTTTTGTCTCAAATCATTTTCACTAGGATTTTTAAATAGGTAAATATGGATTTGTGTAACAAATTCATGTTTTAATGCTTGTCTACCCACAGTCTGGCATTTCTGAAGATATTAAGAATATATTAACATATCTGTGAATGTGTTTAAGTTTAGAAGCAGCAGAAACTCCAGTTTTCTTGCCTGAAGAGTTTAGATGCTCTTAATTTTTTTTGGGTGGCTGGTGGCCCACGGACCACTTATAAACCTCAGAAAGCTGACTCCTGTATTAAAAATCAAGCTGAAAAAGTATTTGAAATGCCCAACATTTGTTTTGTGTGTCAAGTTACTCAGCTCCAAACCTTTGGCCAAAGCCAGTCACTTAGTCCCCTTTAACCTAACTGCAGTCTAACAGTAATCCCTTGGTTCCAACAGTTTATTATCAACAGGTTTCCTTCAGTGCTTGGTGACAGAAGAGCTGTCCCAGCACTGAGTGGCAGTACACAAGGAAGAGAAAAATGCAGTTTGAAAGAACAGACACCAAAAGATGACAGCAGGAAGGGGAGAAAGGAAGATGACAAGTGAATGGACAAATATACCAAACATCTCAACGCTGAAGGATTAATGGCAGGAATTAAACATAAATAACAAACAACTGTTACAATAAAAACACATTCCAACATCAGAGTAATTTGAGTGAGATGAATGACATTAATAACATTATCTTATTTTCTACTGAGAACTAAACTGCTCAATCTTAATTTTCAATACTACTGTGAAACACTGCCCAATAAGTTTTTATGATATGTATTAAGACTGAGTCTCTGCCTTCCTTGTTCAGCAGATTAGTTTTTGGTGGCTTTACAGTTGAGCAGTAAATGATGAACTTCTCACTCCTTAGGTCCTGCTGTGGTATTATAGTCTAGAAGAGAATATTCTATACTCCTAGGTTGAGCAATGAAATCTGAACTTAGAATAAGACTAAAAATAGGACTTATTTTAAAACATATCTGAAGTTCATTCAGGAAAACAGCAAAATGATCTTATGATATTCATTCAGCACTAGCTCGCTTATCCTCAAAATATCACCTGTCAATATGTAAAAGAACTTAAAGAATTTGTAACTTTAAATAACCCTTTGCCATTATAGAAAAACCTTTATGACAAAAACAGCAACCCAGCAGAACAGAAAGGCTGATTTGGACATACCTGATCTAAGCTATTACTTCTGCAACTGGGACCTTACTTAATACCAAATCAAAGGTTATGAAGTCTACAGAATAATGTCAGTGTTAAAATGCAGCATACAGCACACATCAAACTCAATCTTACTTATCTAATTCAAGAGTGCACTTACTGTGATCATGCACCTGCAACAGTGCCAACCCCAAATAATATGTAAATTTAAGGACTTCAGTGCCAAGAACTTTTGTGAGTCTAAACTATGAAGTCTGGTAAGCACTTCTGGTTAAAGTGATGTAAAGATTATGGCCATTTACAACTTAGGTAGTTTCTTTATCACCTATCCAAGCTATAGGCTGAAAAAAGTACAATCTATGCAGAGAATAACATCAATAAATTACAAAGATATTTTATCAAAGTCATAGTAATTTTGGACAAAATTTATACTTCAAGATATATTCGCAGAACAGTTTTAAGATCTGATATTATCAGTTGTTTCTAAGCAACAATGCTTAGAACCGAAAGACACTATAGGCTGCAAGAAGTTTGCTATTGTGTCACATAAGCAAAGGAAATGAGAGAGACAGAACTGTCTGCTCAATAGCTTTGCTGAAAAAGCTTGGTCTCTACAGCAACTGAGAGATTAAACCATAAAATCAGAGATGTCAACACATTTTTTAAACAGCAATTAGCTAAGTAACTATCACAGGAACAATGGCTTCTTCAGGCTCATTTCACAAACGCCCCTCTAATTCCCCAGAAAGAGAAGTTAATGAAGAAAGATGTCTTTGCCTTTGCAACAGTGAAATTTCTACTTCAGTTACCAAAGTAGATTTCTAAGCAGAACAGTAGTGTACCTATCACTGTCCAAAATATCCTACAGAAAACTGTTAGCAGTGCATGGTCCCTTAGTACTAAAAATATATTTACTGTCTTTGACCAAAACCAGCCATGCCTCCATAAAAAGCTATTTCGCTGATTAGTTTCAGCTATTACTTGTATCAATGTCAATAATGGAGCCATTCAAATATCTTTAAATGTTACTTATCCTATCTCCTTTTTTTTAGGAGTAGAACTAGAAAAAACAGAACATATTTCACAATTTTGGCTCAACTTCTGAACATCTGAGGTAAAAATATATACTCATCTGGAAAATTATTGCCCTGGGAATAGTTCAGCAATGAAAATAAAGAACACAGTTATGCACCATAATAAAAACAAGAGACTCACAGTAGGTTAATATCAACCCAGATCTGCATCTTTTTTTTCAGACAGCAGAGTAGTAACAGGTGCTTAAAAAAATCTGTATATTGCTTGTGTTTTTGTATCTGTAACTCACCATGTACTTTGAGCAATCTAGTTTTAGTGCTTCTTGAACTCTACATTCCCGCAGAGGATGTACCATTATGTTTAATAGCCTTTAATGGATTTTTCCTTCATGGCTAATTGCTTTTTGAATCTGTGCCAATTTTTTGGCACCCACATCATGTGGCATCAAGTTCCATAATTCAGCTCTGCACTGTTTGGGGGCGTGGTACAGCCTTTGTTTTAAAACCACTGCCTGCTAATGTAAGAATTAAAGAGCATAAAATGAATACAGAAGAGGAGACTCATCACTCTTTACTCATCCCCTCCAAGCCATCTTATAGTTTCATAGATCGTTATTACATCTTCCTTCTTTTGTTTTCTTTACAGATCAAAGATCTTAGTCCCTGTGGCTATTCATTATAAGATACAGAGCTGCTTCTGCATACTGCTGGAAGTCTAGGTAGACACCAATGTATGCTAAGTATGAATAATAAAAAGCTCTGTTATCACAAATATAGACCCTTCAGGATCACAGAGGCTGAAACTTCAACCATAGCTAAGATTTTACAAAAATACAAACAAAGTCTATTTTATGTTAAGCAAATAGGAAGGATGTTTAAGCTCTGGACATCATTGCTGCAGGCATAAGAAAACTCAGCATGTCACCCTGCTTGTTGTTAACCAAAAACAGGCACCTGGAAGACTATTTTAAGTCTCTTCAGACAAGGTATTTCTCTAAAGCAATTACCTACCTTCATTGTATGGCACTGGATTGCCAATATTCCCACCAACCATATCTGCAGTTTTCAGGACATCCACATCCATCAGAATAACCACTCTCCTACAAACACACAGCAGACAGTGATAAAGATTTTCATTTCCTTTGCACGTCTTAACATATTGTGAATATCCTTTCCATGCAGGTAAGAGAAACAGCCACTAGGGGCAAATATTTTGGAGAAGAGACCTGGAAATAAAGAGCTCTCCACTATCAGCTTAACCCACTCACAAGCTACAAGTAGGCTGAAAATAATATAATATTTCAAAGACAAAAGATGACAGGCTGAATGGGTGCCTAGTGGCTTGAAAAAACAGCCAGATACTACAAGAGAGGATACAACTTTCCTTGAATCAGAGAATGTATTCCTTCTGCAGATACATTGAATAAAAAAGTTAGAACCTCTGTGACCATTCTTCAAAACATTTGCACAATTTAGATAATCACTTCCCCAAGTCACTTGTTAGTTTACAATACTCCACCACTTTCTTCTCTCAAAGTTTCATAAAAGAAAGAGCACAGGCTTTAAGTAACAAAACTTCATGTCTTTCCTATAACATCTCATTTTAAATGAGTTTTAATAAACCTCAGTATAATTCTACATACTGTTGCTGTTTACTTCAGACTTCTGTATTAAATACAGCTGCACTAAAATCACATGCAGCAGTTTTTACTATTGCTAATGTTTGTGTTGTATATTCTCCCTCCAGCACAATCAAGCCCAATTATTTATGTATAATCCAAAGAAAAGCACTTGGCCTCTGCTTAGTCACATAGGATGGAGCACCCATTAACATTACTGCAATTAAAACATGAATACCTTCCATCTTTCAGACTGTTGACAATGAATCTGTTAACTTGGCAGATACAGTGAGCTGCTAAGCGTTCCTCTTCCACAAGAGAGTTCAGCTGTGTCGCCAGCATGAATGCTGCAAAAAAGTAGGAAAAAAACATGGAAACAATTACCATACATCAGCCTTAAGAGGGGTTACTACAGTTGGCCACAACTTTTCCAGTCAGTCTAATGATGCTACATTAGATCTATAGCTTGACATGTTAATTAGGGCACAGTGCAGCAGCTAACAAATCACCATTACTGTGAACATAAAATAAGGGTTTGCCTCCCAAATTTAGGGGAATGATCAGGCAATGACAGCTCAAATACACTCAGTTAGAGAATGATTAAGCTAAACTTCTTAAAAGCCACAGTTATGAAAACATTAGCTACAGCTTTCTGTCTTCATTACGTCCTTTAGTGAATTAATTGCTTGCAGTTCACAAGGGAGCACTGAAATACAGCCACACACTTCAGAACACAAGTTCTGAATTTTACATATATATAACTTGTTCCTTCAAAACTCATTTCATCACTACAAGCCTAGATGATGGACCAGAAACTATGGCAACACTACTCTCTCCACACTTGTAAGAGAACTCACTGCAGCCTGTCATACTTACAAGAGAGTGTGTTAACACCATCACTCATCAACACTCGGTAGCGCGGTGGCCCATTTCCTGTAGCAATAGCCCGCGTATTCTGAAGGAAAACACCAGATTGTTAGTCTTCAGTGGCTCATTCAGAAACACTTCAGCAGCAAAGTCGCATCTTCAGTGGGTGACTCAGTCTGTTTAGCCTTCTTCTCAAGCACTGATAGCAATAGCAGAGCTCCAGTCACTCAAAACCTACTTTTCCCATTCACACTAAGGCTACACCAGTCCCGCTCTGCGGAGCGAGCTTGGCAGCGGGCAGCCCTACAAGGCAGCACCCACAGCCACTGCTGACAGGACAGAGTAAGGAGGAATACTCACTATGACTTGCAGCACAGGCTTGACGATGTTCTCCCCCTGCATTATGGCCTAGAGAAGAGAAAAAGAGAGAGACTCAGAAAGAGGTGTCATCTTCCCACTCAGGGGACGCCCAGCAGAAAAGAAAGTGTCAGAATAGAAATAATATCATCAATAATAGCTGACACTGCTAGGACCAACCAAGACCCTCCACATAGACCAGCCCAGTTCAGGACCCTGCACCCAGCTTCCCCCCTTCCCCTCAGGGGGGAATCCAAACTGTGGGCCTTGCTCCACCCAAACCACCCCCAACACCTTCCAACCAGGCCTCACCCAACACCCAGGGCCCCCCCTCATAACCAGGCTTGACCCCGGCTGCTGCCGCCTCCTCTCCCGACCAGACCTGGCCCAAACCCCAGAACTTCCCCCCCAACAAAGACACCCATCCCTGAACCCGGTCACCGACCCGACCCACCTCGTCCCTTCCCGCCAAAACCCAACGGCCGGTACCCCCGCCCCACCGACGAGGGCGGGACCCAGGCCTCA